TTGACCGAGCTGGCCCCCGGCTTCTACACCGGCAGCTACTACTTCGATGGGTCTCTCTACAACAAGGGTGAGAGGGGGGGTTTGTTGCTGGGGGTGTTCCGGTCCCACCTGAGCCGGGAGAAGGTCCCGGTGCCATCCCTCGGGTCTGTGGGAAGGGGAGGGCAGAGCCGGGTGCCGCCCGTGCTGCTCCGTGGGGTGGTTGGGGCTGGATGTGTCCTGCCTGGAAGGGTGTCAGAGCGACCCGACATCGCGTGAGCCTTGCCTGTAACCTCCCCGTGCTGTCCACTGACCCTGGCCAGGACCAGTTTGGGACAGAACTGGAGTTTCTCCATCATGCTGGTGGTTTTTAACCCACCGTGGGGGTTGGAACTTTCTAGAGGAGGAACCGGAGCAGCTCCGACCCTGGCAAACAAGGCAATTCCTGCATTTTTTTTTGCCCCAGGAGAAGGTCGATGGGGTTTTGTGATCACGTTTCCCCAGGAGCTGGGCTTGGCACTCTCACCCTGGGATGCATAAAGAGCCAAGCAAAGGAAAGTCATGGCTGCGCGGTGAGGAGGACTCGTGCAGCCTTCCAGCGCTGGGATCTGGGAGCGGGTGGTGGTGGTGGCACCAATATCCTGGAGGACGGATGTCCCCACGTGGTCCCCTGGTGGGAAGCCGCAGAGAAAAGCAGCAACGTGTCAGGGCACCCGGGGAACACCGGCACCCAAATTAATGAATATTTGCAGCGCAAAAAAGCACCGATGAGCTCATGAGGGCGTGGAGGAGAGAGCTGAGCTCACTTGCCTGCTCTCCTTGGGCTGAAGATTTGGTGGAGATCCATCTTCCCGTCCTGGGCGACATGGTTATTTGCTCAGTGGATGTTTAAGGGAGGAGGGATGCTGTCACTCCCACCCCTCGTGCCCTCTGGGGCAAAGCAGTGCCAGGGCTGATAGCACGTGGGCTTTGGGGACCCCGAATTCAGCAGCAAGGATAAGTTTGAAGCCAAAAACACCTTGAGGCAGGCATGATGCTTCTTCAGGCAGAAGCCAGCTCCTCCCAGGAACCCACCATATTACAAGGGGGAGGGAAAAGACCAGTTCCCCCATTTTATAGCCATTTACAGTGGTTTTATTCATAGACCTTGAATGTTTCTCCTGCTTTTCCTTCCCCTTTTGTGGCTCCAAGAGGAAATCCTCCTTCCCTCCTCAGCCGTGGCAGAGCTGGGATCTGTAGCTGAGGTACCCATGTAGCTGGCGGGGTCTGTGCCTGGGGTACCCGCCACGCCCGCCGCGGGTCTGTACCCAGGGTACCCTGAAAGCCCCCCTTGCCCAACACCACAGGCAGCAAAGCCCATTTCTTCGAGATCTGCCAAATTCAGCCTTTCGGAGATGGAGATGCTCTGCGCTGAGGGAGGGAGCCCGGACTGTGTCACCCACCCAGGGCGCAGCCGGCATCTCCATCCCGCGGAGGGGAGCATCACCAGGTGAAAGTCTCGGTGAGGTTTTGCTCGTCTGACCCAGCGCCGGTTTCGGGTTTATTCGAGGCTGAGCGCGTCGGAGGGCCCGGAGGTATCCAGGCAACTGGCGTATTAGCCATCACGTCTCTGCGTCGCACGGCAGGGCTGCTGAAAGCAAATTACACATCTATAATTGATGTAATACAGCTACTTACAGCTTATCTCCCCCCTCAGCTCGGCTCAGCGCTGCCGACGTGCTGTTCCTGGGTAGTTTGGGTCGTGCTTTGCGGGGTCTGTGAGTGCGAAGGGGCTGGGAGCGATGCCGGGCTCATCCCCGATACACCATGCAGGGGACATGGGGGACAGCAGTCCCCTCTCTGGACCCCCAGTGGCATCACTGCAGCCCCTGGGATCATCTGCAGCCCCGTGAGCGTGGAGGTTTTTACCCTTCTTAAATTATCCAGAGGGTTTAAACGCTGTGGCCAGGGAGGTTATAGCTGTAAAAAGATGTTCTTGAGCCCACCAGTATAAGCTTAAGGAACATTAATGCGGTACGTGGTTATTTCATGCCCGTGTGCCTGGTGCAAAGCTGGGCTGTGCAATACCGGGCTGTTGCAGACCATCTCGCTGCGAAGAGCCAAGCAGGCTGGGGAGGGGACAGCCCTGCTCAGTCCCCGTGCCCGCTACCGACCCTCTTCTACACAGATTTTACATCATGGCTTGACTCATAACTCAGGCAATTAAAGGACTTCCATCTGGGAGAGGGGTGCAAATTCTACTTCAAGCTTCTGCTTTTATCCAGCTGTATTTTGCAGCCTGGTATCCTCCAGTCGTTCACTTTCCCCAGCTCACTTTTAATATTTTTATTAACGTTGGCACCAGCCGCTCCTCAGGCACCCGCTTGCTCTGTCCCGGCAGGGTTCAAGGGCGAGAGGGACCACTGGCGAAGCGGGAGGACGATTTGCATCAAAACCCACGAGAGCGGCCAGAAGGAGATCGAGTCCTTCGACTCGGCCATCCTGCTCATCCGAAACCCCTACAAGGCGCTGATGGCAGAGTTCAACCGCAAATACGGCGGGCACATCGGCTTCGCGGCTCACGCCCACTGGAAGGGCAAAGGTAGGCAGGGGGGCTCCATCCCAGCTGCCGGAGCCGTTGAGCTGTTGTTAAAGCCCAGGAGAGCCCGAGTGTGGTCGCCACGGAGGAAGCCCGGGCTGTGCCACCCCTTTGGGGTCCCCATGTTGGAGAGGCATCTCCTGGGCTTGCAAGCGGCACGACCTGCAGCATCCACCTGGCATGGCCACAGGCTCCCGCATGGGTCAGACGAGACGAGATGGGATGGGTTGGGACGGGCTGGGATGGGTTGGGACGAGATGAGATGCGATGGGTTGGGTTGGGACAGGATGGGATGGGATGAGATGGGTTGGGATGGGATGGGTTGGGACGGGCTGGGATGGGTTGGGACGAGACGGGCTGGGTTGGGACAGGTAGGGATGCGTTGGGACGAGATGAGATGCAATGGGTTGGGTTGGGACAGGCTGGGGTGGGGACGGGATGGGTTGGGACGAGACGGGATGGGTTGGGATGAGATGAGATGGGACAGGATGGGTTGGGATGGGATGGGTTGGGTTGGGATGGGATGAGATGGAATGGGGAAGTGGAGGAGCTCAGCAGTTCAGAGCCGTGTTGGGTCACAAGGGCAGCAGCAGAGAGGTGACAGTGCCCAGGGACTGACAGCAGCCTGGTGCCAGCAGGGAGGGAATGGGTTGGGTGGGCAAGAGCCCAAGGGCCCAAACTCTGCCCCTTCTTGGGAGCAGCTCTCTGAGGCCAAGAGCAGCTAGCCTGAACACTTGGCTGGGCAGATGGAGAGCAAGGAGAGATTAGAAAAAGAACAGGATCCATCTGACATCTCTGTCCATCACCTGGTGGGCACACGCATTGGTGGGGGGCTGCAGCATCCCCAAGCTGCCGCTGAAGGAGATCTCCCAGCCCCGGTTAGCCGTCCTTCCCCAGGCAGAGGCGCAGGAGAACGGCACCAGCCTAACCAACGGCAAGTCCCCGGGCTGGGGGAAGCCCCCAGCCCCTTTTCCGCGCCGTCCCTCTCGCCGGTGCCAGCAGCAGGAGCCTGTCCCTACGGACAAGGCGATGGCAGGGTGTTACTTCTGCGCGCCCAGCTGCTCCGGAGACGCTACCTTTCCCATGCAAAGGCGTATTGTGGAGGCTTGTTAATTATAGCAATTTACAAATTGCTGTTGTGGAATTGACTTCATTGGAAAGAGTTAAAATATTTAGCTTGATTGAACATCTGCTACCCTTAATTCAGAGTTTATTTAAGGGGAGCTTTTGCTGTTGTTGCTGTGATGTGCCTGGATTTCGTTATCGCCATGTGCTCGCGGTGCCAGGGACGGCCCAGCCCCGCTCTCCCCACCGCCCCATCCCATCCAACCGGAAAGAGAAGAGAAAATTCCCGCTGCTTGCTCGGTGGCTTTCCTCCTGGGGCAGGTCCCTGGGCTGGCGTCGCCCCCGCTGTGGTGGGGCACGAGGCTCTCGCTAGATTTCACAGAATCTCAGCATGGCAGGGGCTGGAAGGGACCTCTGTGGGTCACCCAGCCCAACCCCCTGCCCAAG